CGACCCCACAAATGTAACGTCAGATAGATTTTTTTTAGTTATAAAAACGGTTAATGCATCAAACAGGTTATTGGATAAAACAAAATTGGAAATATGTCTAAAAAAATTGCAATATATTTAAATTTACTGTATTCCCGAGCTGATACAGGTCATTTTTTCTGCCGAACTTCAGCAACATTACTTACCGATTCTGCTGGTGATGTTACAACTAGTGATGGCAATAATCAAATGGAATAATCGAAATAATGGCAACAGACATATTTACCAAAAGCAAATCAATTGAGTTATTCGAAAAATTGCGTGTTTTACTCATTTTCCTTGGGTACTAAATCAAGAAGTCAACTGTCCATCAGTATTATATTGTAATTGTTAAAAATAATAAAATTACTGAATTCAACTGAAACTACAGGTATCTATTTGGTAAGGGGCCCAGGTCTTATAATTTTTAAGAGGGCCTACCGGGATTTTTCCGGTATCTCGGTGGGCCAGTACGCGCCTGCATGTAGTCCTCGGGATCCACGAGGAATCAGTGCAATTGCAACACTAAGTATCCTACGTAGGCGCCACTGAATGCTGTTGTCATCGAGTGGCAACATTTTAAATATGGCACCGATGAGTAATATGCAAGCCCGTTAATTCTGCATAGTGCGAACAAGAGTTTGTTGAATTTTCCGAGTATAAACGTAAGTTTTTTGCGAAGCAAGTTAAATATGTCAGATACACTGTAATATTTATTATTTCAATAACAGGGGCCTTTGTTTTATTTGAACATATGAAAAAATACACACTACTTCCCAACAGTGGTTCAAACATTAAAATCTTCGTTTTTTCTTATTCTTCTGAATACCAGCCGAACAGTGAAGTTCGGCATAGTCCTTGTATACACCCTTTTCCTCATCGCCTAAAATCCTAAAAGTTCTAGGCACGATAAAATTATTATGCGTCGGTCCCCGTGGACATATCGAGCGTACCGACTGAAATCAGTATCCAATAATAATAATAATATTAACAATGATAATAAAGCGTATGCGTACGTGAGTCCCTGGGGTTGTTTGGCGGTTGATTGTCGCCGCCATTCGTTCGACGCACCTGAACAACAGACGTCATAATATACATATTATTGCCGCACGTTGAGGGGAGGGGGAGGATGGATCTTATTAAAAAAAAAAAAAAAAAAAACGTTGACACGAGCCGATCATTTGTATCCGAGTCTCACTACGACGTATGGATGCTTATTATACGGCATTATATCGCGACTCGGCGGCGTGCGCGCGACAGCGACAGCCGCAACCGCACGATATATCTAAACATCGTTATAGCCGGCAAGCGATGGCGGAAGGAGGACAATTTTTCATGCCACCGCATTCGTACATTCAAATCGGGAGAAAAAATAAAACGAAAATATCACTGTAAAACGAAACGTCACGCGCGCTCGTCCCCATCAGCGCGGTGAGTGGCGGGCGCGCCGCCGAGTGGAACGGAAAGTAAAAGCAAAAAATAAAAATAAATAAATACGAATATTTTATTTTCTTGTCGTCGTACCTGTCTACCATGCACATGGGCGCGGGCAAAGGAGTACGGTAAAGGATTGCAGTTTTTTTCAGGCGTGATTCGAGTTTGACTGCTTTCATCCGAACGTTTCGTGTACGGTTGATATTTATTAATGAAATCCGTCCGACACCTACAATATTTCCTACGACGACGAACCCCTTCGTCACAAAATGTTCGTGTGCAATACGCTTGTTTCGGTGTTTCTTAGCGGGTGTATACACTAGGTCGATGAAAATAGCAACATTCTGGTTCGCGACAAAACTAAGACGAAACAGAAACATTTCGCCGACGTTATCTAAACTAGCGACAGTATGTTCGTGTTTTTTTGAAAACATTTTGGTGTCCGCTCGAAAGCGGTAAACATCAAAGTGTTTCTGTTTTGTTCTTGTTTTCAGCAACTTTTGCCTGGTGTAAACAGATACGGTGCGACAACTATTATTTGGTATTTTAAAATATAAATGAAGTATAATTATATACAAAATTTTGTCTCGTATGCGTTTCCAATTTTTTTCTTTTGGTGTAAATGGAAAGGTGTTGTCTTGTTACTGTTTCCAATTTGTCACCGAATCAGAAAAATTAAGAAGTTGATGTTGTGTTTTGTTCTCTGTTTTGTCGGTCTAGTGTAAGCCGCCATTAAATTTTACATTTAAAAATTTCAGTAAAGATTTTACGGTTTACAAATTTTGATTGCGTCCAGACGTATAATGTGCTCGGTACATTTTATTCAGAAATAGCTCGATCATACCGGGATACGAGTCAAATTAATTTTTTTTTGATATGCCGATCGTTCTATAAATAGTTATTATTATTTTAATAACTCATGCAACAGAGTACACAGCTCCACCTCAGTTTCAGACTTTGCTCGTATATTATCTTCACGAATATGTTTCAACTCGTACGTTTCGCGATATTTTTACAACGAATTTCATTTTTTCATCGTATAAAATGAAAAGAAAAAAACATTAACGGGTAACGAGAACGTTTTTTCATCGTCGAAAATCGTCTCGAATAACCGTTAAGTAGATACACCACACGAAACATGTACTCGGTGATTATTATTAAAACATAGAATAATTGAAATTAAATAAATATAAAAATGTCCTATATTGTCTACGTTTGTATCATTACCAGGGCTCGTAAGTTTATGCATTTGCATGTATTTTTTTGTTACACCGGAAAACAAACTGAGATACAAATCCGTTTCATAACAGTGGTAATAAAAACGTAAAGTTTATTTGAGCATGTTTTGCATGATTTGTATGTAATGGCATAAATATAATATTTTGGAGTTATTAGCGCATATTATTTTATGTAAATTCAGCAAAATCGTTTTTCGTGGAAGTTTATTTAGTTTTCCGGATATGTATACAAAATCTTAGTATTTTATCAGTGTTTTTATTTTTGGATTGTATTGGGTTTTATAAGTTGAATGTAGTACCACGGAAACATGTTATTGCGCATCGCTACCAACCTCCTCTTATTGACGTGTGCATTGCAATCTATCAATTTATTTTCGTGGCAACGTGTATTCATTAATTATAATTTTAATAAAGATATGAATGGTTAATTCTTATTATTTTAAAAAATGCTTGAACATTTTTTTTTCGTGCAAAGTTTAAGATTATTTTTAATGGATATTAATGCTTATTTTGAATCTTTTAGTGCATATTTGAATGTATATTTTATCAAACGTTGATGCATTATTGCATGCTTATTTACGCGTTTTTTAATGCATGAACTTATGAGCCCTGAATCAGTGGCGTCGAACACGTACTTTTATGGGGCATTTCGCCCCTTCATTTAATTATGGTGGTGGGTGTCTGGTGTTTGAGTGGGCTAAGTGGATAAATGTACACTCTAGTTAGTAAATCTTAGAAATGTACACATTAAGTGACAGTCGATCTGTAGATGCAATAGAGCAATTTGCCTATCAATACATGTCTTTATACCATATCAAGTATAAAGACGTACATTGACATTTATATCTATTTCATACATATGAAGCTAAACGCCTCTCGGTTCTCAATGTTTAAAAATGATTATACAGCATGCAGATACACCTTTTTAACATTTTAAGATAGTTACTTGAATTACCAATAGCCCCGTGAAACATTTTTGAAATATTTGTTTAAATTACAGTTGTTTAAAAAATGAAATAAACTGTTTTTTGTTTTACATTTTTTTAAGTTTAATAACGTATTTAATATTTAAATGATTAAACCTATATTTATATACGCTCCAAATTGATGTTAAGTGTTTTTTTTCTACAACCACTGATCATTACATTAACTGAACCATTGATGTTTGCAGCAATTCTACATTAGCTAATACAGTACTTACAGTAACTAGGTACTGCTTAATCTCGTTTTAATAACACGTAGAAGTTCTATCATAATTTGTGATGAATTTCTTCATCCTTGATCGAAACCAATTTTTTCTTTTTCTGTTAGATAAACAAGTAAATTCTTAAATTATATTGTTGAAGATACGATAACACACCAATTAAGTTAAAACCATTTACACACTTTCAGCACTTTAGAGTCAGTATAATCTGCAGTATAGTATGATTGACAAGTAAATGTTGTGTGTAACATCGTGCCGTGAAGCAACGTATATCTTTGAAGCTTCAAAAAAAAGTAGGCAAGTGATAGTTTTCTACAATTATAATATTTGTGAATGAGATAAAATCACTTATAATTAGGACTCAGAACAGACAAATCAAAAGTTTATTATTAATTTATAATTATAAAAAAAATTATTTACATTTATAAAAACAAATAACAGATTAATCTATAGGAATCGATGATCGATACATTAGATGAGTTGGTTCCATTCTCTAGACGGATAACACACGTCTCTGTATAAACTTAGAGTACTTAACTGATTAATTCATAACTAGAAAACATACAATAACACTTATCATAAACATTTTGTAAATGTTATTTTCGCCTTTATAACATGAATAATAATAATAATACGTAAGAATAATATCTACACAGTAAAAAAAGAATATATATAAAATAAATAACAATATTATAGATCAATGTCAAGTTATAATATTGTTGATTGGATTATAAAATGTTATATTTTATGTATAATTAAAATAAAACCAATGTCTATTATAAAAAAAACAAATACTTATAACAAGAAAAAGTGTTAAAAATGTTTCCTGTAATTGGTGATGTACCAAATTTTAAAAAAAAAAGGCAATTGCCCTTATCATCGTTAGTACTGGAGCATAAAATAATAATTACATTTATAATAATAAAAAAAAATAAAAAAAAAAAAAAAATATCAAAGTGATAGTTGTAATGATCGTTTCATAAATAATTACGAAATAATAGCATTTAATCGGTGCCACAATAGTAAAGGTTGAAAACCTAAATATTATCAAAACCATTCATAGGAAGACGCAAATAATCAAAGTAATAGTAAAATAGTAGTAATAAAATATATATAGTTAGTAGTATTATTAGAATTATTATTAATTTTTTTTTTTAAATTCTTTTTATTCTTATTCGAAGACTGTGTGTGTTATAATATACTTATATGAGGAATATATGGGGTATATATAGTTTTAGAGTAGTACATGGTGGTAATAAAGCGCGAGCACACAGAGTAATAGTACGTCAGAGTAATACGAGTATGAATAAAAAGTACAAGTATATATATGCATAAAAAAAAAAAAAAAATAATAATAATGCTAGTAAAAATAATAAAGACCGTGATTATTATAATAATGATAATATAATCGCGTAACGTAAGTGTGTACATTTAAATGCTCAAATGAACATCGAGAAAAATCCTTTAGAAAGTCTTCACAAAAAAAAAAAAAAAAAAATTCAAGCGGTGAGAGTTTGTCGATATCCCTTCATTTACAAAGAGCTGCTTCCGGTGTAGATCTTCGGAGGCCGCGGGTCTCTCGGACAGAAATCGCGAGAACACCGGAAGTAGGGAGTGTGTCATTCTACTGGAGTACGTCGGCCGCGGTGGGCGCCTGCTCCAAGTGATGATGGTGGTGCGACGATATGACAGAGGCCACGGCCGGATTATACCACTGCAAGTGATGTTGTGGCGGCGGCGGCAACTGTTGCTGATGGTGTTGGTGGTGACCGTTGACGGCCTGATCGTACGACGGCGGCTGACACGCGCCGTTGTAGACGTCGGTGCCGTCGTACGACGAGTAATGGTGCAACGTGGTGGACGGACCCTGGCGCAGGTGCTCGACCAGCTGATGTTGGACAACGGGTGGCGACGGTGTGGAATACGAGCTGGTCGGGCTGTACAACATCATCTTGGACACCGGTGGTGGCGGCGGGGGCTGCGGTGAGCTGTCCGCGTAATGGTGGCGGCCACCGCTGTCTCCGCTACCGTAGTCGACGGTCATGGTCGTCACCGGCACTGCGACCGAGGGGGCTACCGTCTGCATCACCACCGCCGCGGTGCCGCCGGACGACGGCATGCACGTAGAACCGATTACTCCACCGCTGGTCGACTCCACTTGGCCTGCGAAGACACAAGAACACGTTAACACGATTACACGTTCATCGGTACATTTTATCACGTCATTCGCTAACAGCGTCGGCACGAACGTGTGTATTCGATAAAAATGTTAATTGGATTGCTAATACAAGTACTTCTCATATGGTCTAACGCTTATGGGGGTTCACCCCACCTCCCTCGATTTTCAGAAAAAAATTGATCGGTTGACAGGATGTTATTTAAATTATAAAATATCACGTTTAAAGTTATAGAGCAATATAAATTATAGGATATACAAGTGATCTCGATTTATGAAAAAATATAAAATTAGATCAATTTTTAAAAATTCAAAATGTTTAAAACCTTAGATGTTATTATTAAGAAATTTAGGGTTAAACTATAGTATTAGAAGAGTTATTTGAAAAGAATAAACTTTTTTCTCGAAGTCTAAGTATAGTAATCATCTAATAAAATAAAAGATTTAATTATTCGCGTTAACGTGAGAAATAAAAATGTTAAATTTTTTGTGTTTACAATAAAAAACAAAATTATTTAATCCGAGACAATATTTCGAGATACATAATTAAGATTCAAATAAATATAATCGTTCCCCGGGAAATGATGGTTCACTCTATTTCTTTTATCAAAATTTACATTGGACTGGTGTGCATAATGAATTAGCACAGGTCGTTTAAACGTTTTTAATGAGCACACTTGTATGCCCTGAACAATGTAAGTGCAGGACAGTGACACGCTCACTGATGTTTAACGAAAGGAATACTTGTAGTGCACCGTGATCACAGTTGACACAGTTGGGTATATATCACTGAAGTTTGGCGAAAGATGACGCCCGGCGGCCGGTCGCGTTCTCGTGGACAGCAAGAGATTGCGCGATAACAATTCATAACTTATTAACATATTGAAAATAAATATAACAGTAAAATGATCAGGATGGGATCAACGATAAGATTACATAGGGATCTTGGTCGTATCGCCGACGCGACGTTCGAAGAGAAAATAATTATTATATTAAAAATGTTGGTACCTATATTATTGGAAATGTGTGACACGTGTAAGAGATACGACTCGTCGAGTGCCGGACAGGCGATAACGTCGACCATTCTCAGAATTCGATAGTACGTCACCCTCGACAATGCTCTCATCGTTACACGTCGTACTAATAAGGTCGTCTCGTTTTCACGAGGAATGAAATAAACATTACGGGCACCCGAGTGCGGACAAAACCTATTTTCTATCGATCTATTTACGTGCGGGTACCGTGGAAAACAGAACGTGTTTTATGCGTGCGCTCACCTGATTCCCTCTTAGACTTTTTCTCCTTCATGCGTCTGTTCTGGAACCATATTTTGATCTGCCTTTCCGTCAGCTTCAACGTGCGGGCCAGATCTATACGCCTGGCTCTGTTTAAGTACTGGTTGGCCATGAACGACTCCTCCAAGTGCATCAACTGTTCGCTCGAATAAGCGGTCCGCTGCCGTTTTTGTTTCTCCCGTTTGCGCACCCCGCCGGCCACCGCGACCGCGGCTTGCTCCGCCGCGTCGTTCTGGTGGTGGTGGTGGTGGTGGTGGTGCTGCTGCTGCTGCTGCTGCTGATGATGGTGCTGGTGCTGCAGAGGCAACGACGCCGTCGGATTCCGAATATCTGTGAACGAGAAACGAGTGGAGGGTATTGGTTTCCGTTTGTGAACTATTAACGTGCGCATCATCAATCGCGTTTAAACGCGCGCGAAACAAAACACCACCAAGTCTCGTTGGGAAAAAAAATGTAAACGTGATGTCACGTGGAACGAGGTAACACGCGCCCACGACAGTGGCCGTTTACCAAAACGTGAATTCCGACACCAAACATCACTTGCTTTCGAGAGAGGCATTAGAAACATTGTCGAAAAGTATTATGGGAGAGCCTGGCCAGCCGTAATAGTTGTTCTGCCCAACACCGAAACGCGTGTATGTAATATATTACGATACCCGTTGTTATACGATGCCACGCACTAGAAATAAAATTTACCAAGAAAAACGCGCCGAGAACCCGAGTACGGAGAATATATCGGATTTATGAACGGAAACGATGACACGAAAATCTGATTCGCGAGCCACGCACGTTTCTGCTATTATTAGTCCTATCTATTCTGCGGAACTTCGTAATATTATTATATAAATACATAAAAATCGGACAGGTACAGTTTAGTGCTCGGGATTTTGGACCCGCGTAGAATTATATTCACGCGGGTAAACGATTGTGTAGCGACCGGTCGTTGACCCGAGTGTAGTGCGAGAAAATGTATTTTTAGGTGGAAAACATTAAATCAACGTTGACGGAAATGATGGAACGGCGATATTTCCAATTAACACTCATCGAAATACAATTAATTGAAATATTCGAAAATACCAGTTACAGCAAAAATCAGAATAATAACATTGATTTCTGATGAAAAATGTGCATTGCTATACAATCGGTTGAGCGTGACAAAAAATTGGGAAAAAATTGCCGTACACGTGAAATTAAAACGAAAAATCGTACGAAACAAATTTATTAATAATTATGTATAGTCTTTCTTTCGATGATTATTGTTAAAGTAGGCGTGATGAGAGATAAACAAACGGCTTTCCGCAATCATCGAAAACGCGATACTATTATTGGTCACGGAAAAAAAAACGAAATTCATTAACAATACGAAAACCATTCCTATCGACCAATTCAACTCTACGCGAATTCGATAAAGTTTTACCGATCGGTTTGGTTCAACAGATCGAATGCCAGTTGTTTAGATAACATTTTGAACGCTCCGTTTGCGTAATAATGTTGTTATTGCGACTAGTTAGCGCCCCACGTGGACGCGTCGAGTTCCGCGAGGCCGATCGTCGCAAACGAGAAACTACGCAGTAGTATTTTTGTGTATACCAACGCGTATCCGACGGTACAACAGTACAACGGTTACAATTGATATAATATCGCCTCCCGCGATATTACAATATACCCCCTACCATTATCATTATTGTTAGTGCTACAATTGGTGCAAGCTTTTGCGAGGCCTTAAGGCAAAAGCGGTACGATTTCCTTACACCTAAATACATCCAACGATCCTGACTCGACTCGGGTCCCCGAATTTACTCGTAAGTGCGAGCCCGACCATTACGACGAGACGGTGAGGTGTACTCACCGGTGTACGACGGCATGGACCCACCGAATCCGTGTTGGACGTAGTACGGGTCGAACGTGTTGCAGTAACCGAAGCCGTTCATCATGTCGGCCGACGTTTGCATCACGTGACGCGTCAGAAACGGAACGGGCGCTGCGATTTACCGAGGCGGTTGCCGGGACGATACGATTAACGGTCTTGCGACGAAAACGACAAATGACAAGGGAAGAAGTACTCACCGGTGTACGACGGCAGAGACCCGCCGAATCCGTGTTGCGCGTAGTACGGGTCGAACGTGTTGCAGTAACCGTAGCCGTTCATCATGTGATCGTACCCGTTGACGGTGGCCGCGGACAGTTGAGCGCCCGACGTGGCGTGGGTCATCATCACGTTGGCGTCGGTCGCGTCGGTCGGCGACGATGACTGCTGCTGATGCTGGTAGCCCGTGACAGCGGATGGCAGGTCTGACAGCGTACTGTGGCTGCTGCTGCCGCTGGACACGATCACGGTCGTCGGAACGCCGCCGATCGTCGTGGAGGTGCTGGTGGCGGCGGTGGCGGTGGTGGGTTTAATGTCTGAAAAAAGAAACGGAAAACGGATATCAAGCGTTGCGTTTAAATTTAGACGGCGGCGACAACCGGTCTCTACCGGGGCATCAACGCGTACCGCGATAACGCCCATCGATCGGTGTCAATAACAACACGATTAAAACGATATTTCGACGAACGCTTCGTCTTTTTCCCGGTCGGCTTTGCCACGCTTCCCCGCGCGCCGCTACCCGAACGCGTTTTACGCGATCTCGGCGAATACGGCTAGCGAATATTAGGGTGAACGCTAGGCGAGTACTTGCGCAATCCGTCACGAAGTGGATACCGATTGTTTCGATTGCCAGAGATTCCGAACAACGTCATACTGTACACGCGGAGCACAGGATTAAATGGTGGGACAGGGGCCATCTGCCCCCGAGCGCGAGTTGTGAAGAATGCCCGGTTTAGAGTCGAAAACTATTTGCAATCAATTCTCTTTCACGAGAAGAATCGAATTAATTCGCTGTTATTGTCATAGAAAATGTTTTGCTTGAAAATATTTCACGGGACGGTGTATAGACCAATTCGCTAGATAGAGCTTCAGGAAAGCATTATTTTTTTAAAAATATTACACTCGACAAAAATTGAATACTTATGTTATTTATAAAGTGTTTATACAATAATTTTAATATAAATAATCATTTTAATCATGTTTACTAAAATTATATTAAAAAGATTGATAACATATTATTTCATTATTTTTCTTATGACTTTTAATAAAATGTGCGGTGGTTAAAATACTAAATAAATAAGAATGTAGGTTGAACAAATTTTAGGATGGAAGAGGGCCCTATACTTATCCACTTACCTTCCGTTAGAAAATAAAATTAATAAATACAAAATTAAAGTAAAAAAATGTCATGACTATAAAAAAAAAAGTTTTGAATCGTAGGAAGGTTTAAACATACCTAACCTATGCCTTGGGGCGCGAAATTTTTTAATTCTGTCCTGACTATAAAAACCTTAAACATTTCGCGGAAAAGTATTAAATGTAATTCGTTTTGTTTTAATGTTATTTTGTAATATGTTGTGATATTCAGTTTTCCCTCAGACGATTACTGTATTATATACTATGAAATAATTATTGACGGTATATCATGTATTTCTTATGTGATTCAATTAAATAATTTTAATTTCTATTTCTATAATTTACTCATTTCAATTTTTTGACAATATTTACAACCCTTTCCCACATACACCACCGTCTAAATCAGGGATTCTCAACATTTTTTACTTAACGGCACACTTGATCATTTTAAAAATGTCCACGGCACACTTAAATAAATAATAATGAATATACACAATGTCATAACTATATATAATATATATAATACAAATTTAATGTGATATTTGAGACTGGTGTTTTTTATATAATTCCACTATTAGGGGTGAAACAGTTGAAATGATACAAACTGTTAAAGGATAATCAATATCACCATTCCACGTAAATACAAAACATAAATAATTATCAACATATTTACGTTTAACTTTTAAATTTAAGCTTTCATCACTTATTAAAGCTGATTGTTTGATATTAATTTCAATATTTAAATTGATGTTAGTGTAAATGACAACAATTAAATACAAATTAAAAAAAATTAATTAAATTTAACTTACAATATATCTTGATCGAAATACCTATACAGTATTACGCGTAACAATTACACGCGCACTGTTATCATTATAATAAGCACAGGATATGTTTTATACAGTCATTATAGTATGTGGTAAAAGATAGCGCAACTGCTTGTAATACCCGTACCGGGTAGTATCAGATTCTATATAATTATATAGCTGTTTTGTCAGAACATTTTATTATTTTTTATTTGCAAGGGAATTTCGAAATCAATGCTATCATAAATATAAATTATAATTTTAATTATTATATTTAGTTATGCTTAAAAAATTATAAAATTACAAAAATTATAAGGCACATCCAAGAATTTCGCGGCACAATGGTTGGGAATCTCTGGTATAAATCATAAAAATGTCCATATTCAGACACTCGTCGACGTAGTATACTCTCAATAAAATTGATGAGAATATCAATGTTGAACTGGTACTTAAGTAATCGTTACTTTTTTTTATTAACACGAGTTATTCACAAATCTGTTTTGTGCTAGGACCAAAAAATAAACATGACGTACGTATGGTACAAGGGCGTCATTTCAACTTTTGAAAGGGTGGGGAAATTGATTAAATTTGCCGACTTCATAATATTTAAAAAAATATGGTTATCCATTTATTTAAATATTTAATATTTATTGACCATAGACTTTCAATAAAATATTTTTTCAGAACAAAACATGTAAGGATTAGTAATGAATAATGATGATAAACAAAGAACATGAAACGTTGAAATTGGGTAAATTGAAACTCAATTTACCCAATTAAATAATAATATTAAAGATAGTAAAACATTAATTTATTTACTTATCATATAGGCTATAAGTTACCTCTATCAATAGATTTAATGGAATAATAGTATAAATCTAATTAAATAAATAATTATAATTTTATTATTTGTATATTTAACACTTCACAGAATTTATTCATAAAAACATAAAATTGTATCTCAAATATAATCTACCGTAGTTTGGGGTGAATAGGAACGTTTTTAAAGGTTTTTTTTTATTGTGAGTTCAATTTTTATGGTACTGATATCACGAAAACTGTTTTATAAAGATCACATATATAGAAATATATAATATACCAAAAATAAAGTTTATAAGGTTCGCGTAATAACGATTGTCATAAACCGGGGAGGAGCCAGTGTTAGCCAACTTTTAATAAACCGTGAACGTGTATTTAAAAGACATTATCTAATTTCTAAGTACAAAATCGTAAATAAAAATTTACTATTTACTGATTTTAGCATTTGATCATCGGACAAAGAATTGACGACTTTTTAAAATTTTTTAGAGTGGGGAATTTGTCATAGTCTGCCCCCCCCTAAATGACGCCCCTGGTATGGTACGTACAGTATTTTGTGTATAAAAGTCGCGATAGAGAGCATGTAGTTTCCGCGAAGAGGGCAGGGCGGGAGGGAAGGTAAGAAATTAAATAGGCATAAGAACAGAAAATAATTTCGCGAAAAAAAATTAAAACCTCATAGATAAACCGTAACAGTAAGTACTTACCGTCATGTTGACCTCTGTCCAAGTCCAAAAGCGTGCCGAAATGCATGTCCATGGTTCTGCGGTACGATGATCAATCGACTGTACGGTCGCTGGTGCTGTACGTGCGTGCTGTCGTGTACGAGGTGCGTAGTGGAGCCGATGATCGTCCGTTAGTCGTGTTTCTTAAACTGATGGTGTCCTAGTGTCCACGCGCGCGTGGAGGACAAAATAATGACAACGTTGGTCGCGTTATGGAAGGGGAAGCGCAGGTACGCGTTGACAAGACCTCTCTCGTTAATTGCTTTCGCTAATACGGATCCAGGTGCCTTGTTTGTACGTACTTACACTTCATATGTGGGTGTGTGTATCGTAGTAGAACATTCGAATCACTGTGAGTGGGAAATGGAAATTCAATTATTAAAACGAGTCTTGAATCACCATGGCAACATTAGAAAATTAAAATTATCATCGTTTTACATTCTTCTGCGATAAATATTAACCATCGTACGAAATATATATTTGTTCACATTTTAATGAGCTCTATCGATATGGGACGGAAATAGTAAAAATTCTATTGATGGTATTCTAACAAGGTATTTTGAATATTATTAGGTTTTGTCGTTAAAATTGTTTTAACGTTAAACCACGAAATTGTAAAGTTATACGTCCGAAGGGAGACGGATTTACCCGCGGCAAGATCATACACTGTTGGTAAGAACAATGGTAAAGCGTACTGCACCGAGCGCCGCTACGTAGTTTTTAGATTTAAAAAATGTAATCCGTAATATTGCCGGCAAAACGTAATTGTTTCGGTTTTGTACGCTTTCGGTGCTCGGGTTAACACCAGTTTGCCGAGAACGTTGAACTCGCGGCTGAACGCGGTAAACGATGATTTTCGAACGGGATCCGTGAAAGTTTCGAAGCACGGGGGTGCCGTTTTACCGTCGAACGCGGACTTGACGATCGTCGCGTACCACCGTTAAAGTTTAATACGACAAGGTGATTTTTTTTTTTTTTTTTTAATTTTCGCGCTCGGTCCACGTTTTGTACCGGTCTGTCGTGACGTTGCGGTACGAACATAAACGGCGCGTACCTGTATCGTCCTGCAGCGTTGTTCACGGGTGACAGACGTAATCCGTGTCCGCGGCCCGAAGCGACTGCACGACGACGTTATTACCGTATCGGTGTTTGTTAACATCGTTGGACACGCGACCCCGCTATCGGGGGACCCGGCGGTATCGGGCAACGACGCGCTCGGACCTCTCGTGCGGTATTCGTTCCCGTCGGCTTATAGATGTATACTTTGACGTTTTTCGTCGAAAACATTCTTCGGACACCGTATCGGAGACCCCGCACGGGACGGGTGTGCGTAACACGGTGGCGTGTAAATGGTAATCCGACGTCGTTAACGGTCGACCTTGCCCGGGCTAGGACTATGGGCGCTGTCGAGCGATGAGTCAAGTGCGTCGGAGAAGCAACAACGCGCGCGTACGGTGGCGAGAAGGTGGGAGGAGCGGTGTTTTGGAGGAGAGAAAAAAAATACGTACAAGAACAACATCGAAACCACTCGATACGATACGGTTGATGTCACCCCGGTAGCGTATCTTTAGCCCGAGCCAAGGCCGAAGCGCTGATAGAGCTGTGTAATAAGTATATTTTTCTCCGTTCGACAGTAGCTAACAAACGCACAAATGCGGTGCACGTTCACGGATATAATATATATATATTTTATAATAATTACAATGACAGTGTACTACTAAAACGAATGGCGATTTCCGTGTGCACGTTCCAATGTGTACAGTTACACGATTATTGTACGAAACACCGCCATGACTCTAATTGTACTCGTATTCCCGCTGCATTTGGTTCGACCTCGTAAACGCGGTAAGACGAAAACGACCGATTTTTGACGTTACATCTAAAACGCACACGCAAAAATGTACGTACGCATACGATTGCATTGAAATCTGTTTTGGCGACGAATACGTGGTGTCGATTTGAAAATGCAATTGAACGCGTAGGGGTTTGATTTGAAACGCGTGTTGCGTTCAAGATTACGTGGTTGAAAATTTTAACTGCGGATGAGCACCACTCCATAAACATTTTGCACTTGATCGGCATAATATTCGATTTACATTCTTGGTCATTACGCTCGCTTTTTTTTTTTTTTTTTTATTGGTAAATCTAATCTTATCTACTTCATTAAATGATGATTTGATAAGAAATTGTTTACCATGTGTAGTTGTGTATTGTATCTTATCGGTCTGCGAGTTTGGGAGTTCATATAGAATAAACATTTCAAGAAAATATTCCGTGAGTAATGTTTATTTTTGCTACAAACTTAAGATTTTTTTGTATACTTTTTCGATAGTAGTTTTGTTTAATTTTGGACTTTAAACATTTTTTTAAAGAAACCTTTTAAACACCATTACGTTCAAAGTATAATCAACAGATTTCAATACGTTTTTTGTTTGTGACATATTTTTCAACATCAAAATTTATCGACATAGAAATATTAGAAACACCGAAATAACAGTTTGCTATGCTGTGTATATGTCGTGTATCACGATAACAAAAACCACGTATTGACGAACCGATGTTGTTTGGATGTAATCACAATTTACGAAATAATTGAAGTAAACAATTAGTTAACTTTTACTGTTAACGAAAACAATTTTAAAACAATTATGTCTCACATGTAAAAGAACTGTATAATATTTCGTCGGGACTTGGAATCGCGTCTTACAGATATCTCGTGACACAATATGATTATTTTCTTCTCTTCGTTTTACTTATCGGGACATTGTTAGATTTAACCCTCGTTGACCTCCCCGTACGAGGTATTAATGACGCAGCGTTTACACGTATATGTATATACATGTACCTGATATGCGAGTAAACATAATATATGTACACATTAATCGGTTTATAGTCGTTACGTATACGTCGTATCGGCGATTGCACCTGTTTTATGAAAACGATATTATAATTAGCCTGACGAGTTCAGAGTATTGTAATCGATGGATACGAACAGAAAGGCTTTGCGCCGAAATTCCGTCGTCGTTTTGCGTTCCGTACGCGCATAGGTCACGGAGCACAATACATATATGTTTACGGACCGGCGGATATAATATCCGGTATATCTGTGTGTCGGCCGGCGGTTTTATTCGGATACGGTTGCAAATTTACGTAGTTTAAACCCGGACGCGCACAAATGCGCGCGCGCGCGCGGGTGGAAAAATATAGAAGAAAATCCCTCGGCACCGCGGCGAACAGCACACAATGGGAAAAAACGGGACCGAACGCGCGCCTAGGATAAGGATTTGGCGCGCGTAATCGCCGCCGCACAATGGCTCTCTATTGATGGTGCGCGTGTACAGCCTTTGGGCCAACAATGACGGCCGCGCACAACAATGACGTTCGTCATCCACCACGCACGCACGCACACGGTTTACAATGAGTAAAAATGTGTATCGCGTACACATACTTGTACGACTGGTAGAAGCTCTGCGTTATCATAAGGAGTTGTTTACCCGTTTCCGCCGTTGCGAGGACGAGGCCGATGTACAATTTCTAAATCTCTCTCTCTCGGGTCCGACGAAATGCCGTTCGCAATATCCTACGCATAATATCCTCTTTTTCCCGACCGTGTACAATACCAGTGTTTTGTATATATATATATATATATATATATATATAAACGCCCTTTGAACACGTCGGCGAGTGCGCGCCACCAGTCCACAGTCCGCATCGCGAATCGCATCGCGCGTTCTATATAACAGTATTATATCACGTATGACGATATCGTCGAACGTATGGAATGCGATGAAGACGAAAAATAAAAACTAAAACAATTAACTACGTTCATATAATACACACGCGTGTTCGTATACCACGGCCGTCGATGAATCATTACCGTATCGTTAACAATTTACATATATGCAATACATAAGTTGAACGCGGTTCACAGTCCCGTAGAACAATATGATAAAATATTTTAATTAGACATGTATTTTAGACATTAGATTATAATATTATACACTATTTGCATCAGTATAGTATACACATATACATGCATATATCTATACATTTGTACCGAGAGGACGATTGTTGATCCAAAGGACGACTCTAACGTTAGAGTAAGATTGGGAACAGCGTAATGGACTGGATCCGTCAGTACGGTTTTTCTTTTTCATTTTTAGCCCTGGGTCAACTATTACCAGATATGTATAATATTCGTGTTGGCTATGTACAAATACCGACGACAAGCCGCGGTCGCATACCACTGCAGGCTATTGCGACAAAGATTGCTTGTTTAGGTCTTCCTAAATTCCTGGCCGAACAAAACAAAATATGTATTGTGTTTTCTGAGTTTTACAATAGTTTTGATTTTTTATTATTGTGAAATCAGTTTTTCATAAGTCAGTACAGTTTTAATTAGTCTCTTAACATTTAAAAATACGAAAATTAAACGATTATAGTTTGTAAATCAAATGTGTATACGCATTAGACGAATAAAAAAATACAATTTACAGAATAGTTACATTTTAATATTAACCATTAGATATGTTGTAGACCACGGATGTGCTGTTTCTATTGTTAAATTTTATAAAATTAGAGGAATTATAGTATATAGAATGCGACTGTTTACAACTTAACAATTTGTGTGTTATATTTGTAACTCCGAAATAAGTATAATAAATTACACACTGTAGGAATTTACATTTTTAGCAGATACAATGTATTCATGTAAAGTAAATGCAAGTATTATATGGTATTCGTAAAAATGTAATTTAAAGTTCATTTTGGATTTAGTGTAGGTCAGTGTTTTGCATATTAAATCGAAATGTACCTTTAATAAATGTATAATTTCTGATAAAAATATAATTTCTTAGTTCTTGTTAATAGTTCTTACTCATACAAACATAATAGTATACATTTTAATATAATGTTACAAATTTATATTATTATGTTTGTATGAGTAAGAATTGTAAACAAGAACAAAAAGATCAATTGTTACATCTTTATCAGAAACCAATCATGATTAATAAAATAGAGGTTATATAAAACAGTGCGACATGAATTCAAATCGATAGGAATTATTTTATTCTTTTGAGTATTAATATTTTCAAAAAAACGATGAATACTGGTCAGAAGAAACCAAGGATGAAAATCGTTTTTGATT